GTGATGATGGTGATGATGATGGTGGTGATGATGGTAGTGATGGTGATGATGATGGTAGTGATGATGGTAGTGATGGTAATGATGGTGGTAGTGATGGTGATGATGATGGTAGTGATGGTGATGATGATGGTGATGATAGTGATGATGATGGTGGTGATGATGATGATGGTAGTGATGGTGATGATAGTGATGGTAGTGATGATGGTACTGATGGTGATGATGGTAGTGATGGTGATGATGGTAGTGATGGTGATGATGGTAGTGATGGTGATGATGGTAGTGATGGTGATGATGGTAGTGATGGTGATGATGATGGTAGTGATGGTGATGATGATGGTAGTGATGGTGATGATGGTAGTGATAGTGATGATGATGGTAGTGATGGTGATGATGGTAGTCATGGTGATGGTGGTGATGATGGTGGTGGTGATGGTGATGATGATGGTAGTGATGATGGTAGTGATGGTAATGATGGTGGTAGGAATGGTGATGATGATGGTAGTGATGGTTATGATGATGGTGATGATAGTGATGATGATGGTGGTGATGATGATGATGGTAGTGATGATGGTAGTGATGGTGATGATGATGGTAGTGATGGTGATGGTGGTGATGATGGTAGTGATGATGGTAGTGATGATGATGATGATGGTAGTGATGGTGATGGTAGTGATGATGGTAGTGATGGTGATGATGATGGTAGTGATGGTGATGATGGTACTGATGGTGATGGTGGTGATGATGGTAGTGATGATGGTAGTGATGGTGATGATAGTGATGATGGTAGTGATGGTGATGGTAGTGATGATGGTGATGATGGTAGTGATGGTGATGATGGTAGTGATGGTGATGATGATGGTAGTGATGGTGATGATGGTGGTAGTGATGGTGATGATGATAGTGATGATGGTAGTGATGGTGATGATGGTACTGATTGATGGTGATGGTAGTGATGATGATAGTAGTGATAATGGTGATGATGATGGTAGTGGTGATGATGATGGTAGTGATGGTGATGATGGTAGTGATGGTGATGATGGTACTGATGGTGATGATGATGGTACTGATGGTGATGGTAGTGATGATGATGGTAGTGATGGTAGTGATGATGGTAGTGATGGTGATGATGATGGTACCGATGGTGATGATGATGGTAGTGATGGTGATGGTGGTGATGGTAGGTATGGTGATGATGGTAGAGGTGGTACTGATGATGATGGTACTGATGGTCATGATGATGGTGGTGATGGTGATAGTGATGGTAGTGATGGTAGTGATGATGATGGTAGTGAGGATGATGGTAGTGATGGTGATGATGGTACTGATGGTGATGATGGTGATGGTACTGATGGTGATGATGGTAGTGATGATGATGGTAGTGATGGTGATGATGGTAGTGATGATGATGGTGATGATGGTACTGATGGTGATGATGGTACTGATGGTGAGGGTAGTGATGGTGATGATGGTAGTGATGGTGATGATGATGGTACTGATGATGGTAATGATGGTGATGATGATGGTACTGATGGTGATGGCACTGATGGTGATGATGATGGTGATGGTACTGATGATGATGATGGTAGGGATGGTAGTGATGGTGATGATGGTACTGATGGTGATGGTACTGATGGTAGTGATGGTGATGATGGTAGTGATGGTGATGATGATGGTACTGATGGTGATGATGGTACTGATGGTGATGATGGTACTGATGGTGATGGTACTGATGGTAGTGATGGTGATGATGGTAGTGATGGTGATGATGATGGTACTGATGGTAGTGATGGTGGTGATGGTACTGATGGTGATGATGATGGTATTGATAGTGATGATGATGATGATACTGATGGTGATGATGATAGTGATGGTGATGATGGTAGTGATGATGATGGTAGTGATGATGGTAGTGATGGTAATCATGATGGTACTGATGGTGATGATGGTAGTGATGATGATGGTACTGATGGTGATGGTAGTGATGATGATGGTAGTGATGATGATGGTAGTGATGATGATGGTAGTGATGGTGATGATGGTAGTGATGGTGATGATGATGGTAGTGATGGTGATGATGATGGTAGTGATGGTGATGATGATGGTAGTGATGGTGATGATGATGGTAGTGATGGTGATGGTAGTGATGGTGATGGTACTGATGGTGGTGATGGTGATGATGATGGTACTGATGGTGATGCTAATGATGGTAGTGATGGTGATGATAGTGATGGTAGTGATGGTGATGGTACTGATGGTGATGATGATGGTAGTGATGGTAGTGATGATGATGGTACTGATGGTGATGGTAGTGATGATGATGGTAGTGATGGTGATGATGGTACTGATGATGATACTGATGGTGATGGTAGTGATGATGGTAGTGATGGTGATGATGGTAGTGATGGTACTGATGATGGTACTGATGGTGATGGTACTGATGGTGATGGTAGTGATGGTGATGATGGTAGTGACGGTGATGGTAGTGATGGTGATGATGGTACTGATGATGATGCTAGTGATGGTGATGATGGTAGTGATGATGATGGTGATGATGGTGATGATGATGATGGTGATGATGATGGTGATGATACTGATGGTGATGGTAGTGATGATGGTGATACTGATGGTGATGATGATGGTAGTGATGGTGATGATGGTAGTGATGGCAATGATGATGGTAATGATGGTGATGATGATGGTACTGATGGTGATGGTAGTGATGGTGATGATGGTACTGATGATGATGGTAGTGATGATGGTAGTGATGGTGATGATGATGGTAGTGATGGTGATGATGATGGTAGTGATGGTGATGATGATGGTACTGATGGTGATGGTACTGATGATGATAATGGTACTGATGGTGATGATGGTACTGATGGTGATGATGATGGTACTGATGGTGATGATGATGGTACTGATGGTGATGATGGTACTGATGGTGATACTGATGGTAGTGATGGTGATGATACTGATGGTGATGATGATGGTACTGATGGTGATGATGATGGTGTGGATGATGGTAGTGATGATGGTAGTGATGATGGTGATACTGATGGTGATGATGATGGTACTGATGATGATGGTAGTGATGGTGATGATGGTACTGATGGTGATGATGATGGTAGTGATGGTGATGATGGTACTGATGGTGATGATGGTAGTGATGGTACTGATGATGATGGTAGTGATGGTGATGGTAATGATGGTGGTGATGGTGATGATGATGGTAGTGATGGTGAGGATGATGGTAGTGATGGTGAGGATGATGGTAGTGATGGTGATGGTAGTGATGGTGATGGTAGTGATGGTGATGATGATGGTAGTGATGATGGTGATGATGATACTGATGGTGAGGATGATGGTAGTGATGATGGTAGTGATGATGATGATGGTGATGATGATGGTAGTGATGATGGTAGTGATGATGGTACTGATGGTGATCATTATGGTACTGATGGTGATGATGGTACTGATGATGATGGTAGTGATGGTGAGGATGATGGTAGTGATGGTGATGGTAGTGATGGTGATGATGGTAGTGATGATGGTAGTGATGGTGATGATGGTAGTGATGATGATGGTAGTGATGGTAGTGATGATGATGGTAGTGATACTGATGGTGAGGATGATGGTAGTGATGATGGTAGTGATGGTGATGATGGTAGTGATGATGATGGTAGTGATGATGATGGTACTGATGATGATGATGGTACTGATGGTGATGATGATGGTAGTGATGGTGATGATGGTAGTGATGATGATGGTAGTGATGATGGTAGTGATGGTAGTGATGATGGTAGTGATAGTGATACTGATGGTGATGATATTGATGGTGAGGATATTCCAGTGAGCGGCTGCAATGGGGTGTGCTTTGCACTGTCGCAGCCATCTGAGGCTCAGCGAGGAGCTGGGGACCATCCAACAACAATCACAACCACCAACAACCACAATCACAGCCACCACCATCCAACAACATCACAGCCACCACCATCCAACAACAACCACAACCACCAACAATCACAGCCACCACCATCCAACAACAATCACAGCCACCACCATCCAACAACAACCACAACCACCACCATCCAACAACAACCACAACCACCAACAACAACCACAACCACCAACAACCACAATCACAGCCACCACCATCCAACAACAACCACAGCCACCACCAACCAACAACAACCACAACCACCACCAACCAACCACAATCACAGCCACCACCAACTCACCACAATCACAGCCACCACCATCCAACAACAACCACAATCACCACCAACCACAATCACAGCCACCACCATCCAACAACAACCACAGCCACCACCATCCAACAACAATCACAGCCACCACCATCCAACAACAATCACAGCCACCACCAACCATAGCCACCACCAACCACAGCCACCACCATCCAACAACAACCACAGCCACCACCAACCACAGCCACCACCAACCACAGCCACCACCATCCAACAACAACCACAGCCACCACCAACCACAGCCACCACCAACCACAGCCACCACCAACCACAGCCACCACCAACAGGCACCACAGACACCACCAATCACAGCCACCACCATCCACAGCCACCACCAATCACAGCCACCACCAACCACAGCCACCACCAACCACATCCACCACCAACCACCACCAACCACAGGCACCACCATCCACAGCCACCACCAATCACACCCAACACCAACCACAGCCACCACCAATCACAGCCACCACCAACCACAGCCACCACCAACCACCACCAACCACAGGCACCACAGCCACCACCAACCACAGGCACCACATCCAACACCAACCACAGCCACCACCAACCACAGCCACCACCAACCACAGCCACCACCACCCACAGCCACCACCAACCACAGCCACCACAGCCACCACCAACCACAGCCACCACCAACCACAGCCAACCACAGCCACCACCAACCACAACCACAGCCACCACCAACACGCCACAACCAACCACCACGTCTCTTGCCTTCGAAGGCGCGGTCGCGATGAGCTCGCCGCCTCCTCCTCCTCGTCGTCGTCTCTCTCGCTCGCTCCCTCGCTATTGTTGGGGGTCGTTGCTGGCTTTCTTTCACCCCCTCTCTCTGTGTCTCTCTCTCTTCTCTCCTCCGCTTGCTCTCTGCCTCTCTCCCTCTGCCTCTCTCTCTGTCTCCCTGTGTCTATGTCTCGCTGTGTCTCTGTCTCGCTGTGTCTCTGTCTCGCTGTGTCTCTCCTATCCGCCTGCTGTTGCTGCTGCTGCAGAAGCAATGGACGGCGACGTGACGTCACCGCGTGTGCGTGACGTCACCGCGCGGCGCCGCGGCGACGTCATCGCGCGAGCGTCCTGCGGTCGTCGCGGTGACGTCAGCGCGACGACCCCCCGCCGATATTGACGTGTGACGTCACCGCGCGAACGGCGTCGGCGCTTGACGTCACTGCGCTCTCGGTCGAGTTCGCCGCGGTGACGTCAACGGGGCATGACGACGTCACACGCGGTCGTTAACCTCGGCCGAAGACGATTGCTTGTGGTGTTGCGGTCGAAACGTCGTGCTATTTTGTATTATTTTACTGTTTTTATTTCTTATACCTGCGTCACTTTACCGAAACACCCAAACAATGTGAACTCCTGCAGTCACGAAAGCTTTAAGTCAACATTTTACGTCACGACTTTCACTGGGAACCGGTTCCCTATTTGTTATCATGGCGCCAGACATTCTATGGGAGCCGGTTCCCTATTTTTTAACATGGAACCATAGACTTTCTATGGGAACCGGTTCCCTATCTCTTAACATGGAGCCATAGACTTTCTATGGGAACCGGTTCCCTATCTCTTAACATGGAACCAAAGACTTTCTATGGGAACCGGTTCCCTATCTCTTAACATGGAGCCATAGACTTTCTATGGGAACCGGTTCCCTATCTCTTAATATGGAGCCATAGACTTTCGATGGGAACCGGTTCCCTATCTCTTAACATGGGGCCATAGATTTTCTGCGGGAACCGGTTCCCAATCTCTTAACATGGAGCCATAGACTTTCTATGGGAACCGGTTCCCTATCTCTTAACATGGAGCCATAGACTTTCTACGGGAACCGGTTCCCTATCTCTTAACATGGAGCCATAGACTTTCTATGGGAACCGGTTCCCTATCTCTTAACATGGAGCCATAGACTTTCTATGGGAACCGGTTCCCTATCTCTTAACATGGAGCCATAGACTTTCTATGGGAACCGGTTCCCTATCTCTTAACATGGAGCCATAGACTTTCTATGGGAACCGGTTCCCTTTCTCTTAACATGGAGCCATAGACTTTCTACTGGAACCGGTTCCCTATCTCTTCATATGGAGCCATAGACTTTCTATGGGAACCGGTTCCCTATCTCTTAACATGGAGCCATAGACTTTCTATGGGAACCGGTTCCCTATCTCTTAACATGGAGCCATAGACTTTCTACGGGAACCGGTTCCCTATCTCTTAACATGGAGCCATAGACTTTCTATGGGAACCGGTTCCCTATCTCTTAACATGGAGCCATAGACTTTCTATGGGAACCGGTTCCCTATCTCTTAATATGGAGCCATAGACTTTCTATGGGAACCGGTTCCCTATCTCTTAACATGGAGCCATAGACTTTCTACAGGAACCGGTTCCCTATCTCTTAACATTGAGCTAGACTTTCTATGGGAACCGGTTTCCTATCTCTTAACATGGAGCCATAGACCTTCTACGGGAACCGGTTCCCTATCTCTTAATATGGAGCCATAGACTTTCTATGGGAACCGGTTCCCTATCTCTTAACATTGAGCCATAGACTTTCTATGGGAACCGGTTCCCTATCTCTTAATATGGAGCCATAGACTTTCTACGGGAACCGGTTCCCTATCTCTTAACATGGAGCCATAGACTTTCTATGGGAACCGGTTCCCTATATTTTAACATGGAGCTAGACTTTCTATGGAAACCGGTTCCCTATCTCTTAACATGGAGCCATAGACTTTCTATGGGAACCGGTTCCCTATCTCTTAACATGGAGCCATAGACTTTCTAAGGGAACCGGTTCCCTATATCTTAACATTGAGCTATAGACTTTCTATGGGAACCGGTTCCCTATCTCTTAACATGGAGCCATAGACTTTATACGGGAACCGGTTTCCTAACTCTTAACATGGGGCCATATACTTTCTACGGGAACCGGTTCCCTATTTCTTAACATGGAGCCATAGACTTTCTATGGGAACCGGTTCCCTATCTCTTAACATGGAGCCATAGACTTTCTATGGGAACCGGTTCCCTATCTCTTTACATGCAGCCATAGACTTTCTATGGGAACCGGTTCCCTATCTCTTAATATGGAGCCATAGACTTTCTATGGGAACCGGTTCCCGATCTCTTAACATTGAGCTATAGACTTTCTATGGGAACCGGTTCCCTATCTCTTAACATGGAGCCATAGACTTTCTATGGGAACCGGTTCCCTATCTCTTAACATGGGGCCATAGACTTTCTACGGGAACCGGTTCCCTATCTCTTAACATGGGGCCATAGACTTTCTACGGGAACCGGTTCCCTATCTCTTAACATGGAGCCATAGACTTTATATGGGAACCGGTTCCCTATCTCTTAACATGGAGCTAGACTTTCTATGGGAACCGGTTCCCTATCTCTTAACATGGAGCCATAGACTTTCTATGGGAACCGGTTCCCTATCTCTTAATATGGAGCCATAGACTTTCTATGGGAACCGGTTCCCGATCTCTTAACATTGAGCTATAGACTTTCTATGGGAACCGGTTCCCTATCTCTTAACATGGAGCCATAGACTTTCTATGGGAACCGGTTCCCTATCTCTTAACATGGAGCCATAGACTTTCTACGGGAACCGGTTCCCTATCTCTTAACATGGGGCCATAGACTTTCTACGGGAACCGGTTCCCTATCTCTTAACATGGAGCCATAGACTTTATATGGGAACCGGTTCCCTATCTCTTAACATGGAGCTAGACTTTCTATGGGAACCGGTTCCCTATCTCTTAACATGGAGCCATAGACTTTCTATGGAAACCGGTTCCCTATATCTTAATATGGAGCCATAGACTTTCTATGGGAACCGGTTCCCGATCTCTTAACATGGTGCCATAGACTTACTATGGGAACCGGTTCCCTATCTCTTAATATGGAGCCATAGACTTTCTATGGGAACCGGTTCCCTATCTCTTAACATGGAGCCATAGACTTTCTATGGGAACCGGTTCCCTATCTCTTAATATGGAGCCATAGACTTTCTATGGGAACCGGTTCCCGATCTCTTAACATGGAGCCATAGACTTTCTATGGGAACCGGTTCCCTATCTCTTAACATGGAGCCATAGACTTTCTACTGGGAACCGGTTCCCGATCTCTTAACATGGAGCCATAGACTTTATTTGGGAACCGGTTCCCTATCTCTTAACATTGAGCTAGACTTTCTATGGGAACCGGTTCCCTATCTCTTAACATGGAGCCATAGACTTTCTATGGGAACCGGTTCCCTATCTCTTAACATTGAGCTAGACTTTCTATGGGAACCGGTTCCCTATCTCTTAACATGGAGCCATAGACTTTCTATGGGAACCGGTTCCCTATCTCTTAATATGGAGCCATAGACTTTCTATGGGAACCGGTTCCCTATCTCTTAACATGGAGCCATAGACTTTCTATGGGAACCGGTTCCCTATCTCTTAATATGGAGCCATAGACTTTCTATGGGAACCGGTTCCCTATCTCTTAATATGGAGCCATAGACTTTCTATGGGAACCGGTTCCCTATCTCTTAATATGGAGCCATAGACTTTCTATGGGAACCGGTTCCCTATCTCTTAACATGGAGCCATAGACTTTCTACGGGAACCGGTTCCCTATCTCTTAACATTGAGCTAGACTTTCTATGGGAACCGGTTTCCTATCTCTTAACATGGAGCCATAGACTTTCTATGGGAACCGGTTTCCTATCTCTTAACATGGAGCCATAGACTTTCTATGGGAACCGGTTCCCTATCTCTTAACATGGAGCCATAGACTTTCTACAGGGACCAGTTCCCTATCTCTTAACATGGAGCCATAGACTTTCTATGGGAACCGGTTCCCTATCTCTTAACATGGAGCCATAGACTTTCTATGGGAACCGGTTCCCTATCTCTTAACATGGAGCCATAGACTTTCTATGGGAACCGGTTCCCTATCTCTTAATATGGAGCCATAGACTTTCTATGGGAACCGGTTCCCTATCTCTTAACATGGAGCCATAGACTTTCTATGGGAACCGGTTCCCTATCTCTTAACATGGAGCCATAGACTTTCTATGGGAACCGGTTCCCTATCTCTTAATATGGAGCCATAGACTTTCTATGGGAACCGGTTCCCTATCTCTTAACATGGAGCCATAGACTTTCTATGGGAACCGGTTCCCTATCTCTTAATATGGAGCCATAGACTTTCTATGGGAACCGGTTCCCTATCTCTTAACATGGAGCCATAGACTTTCTATGGGAACCGGTTCCCTATCTCTTTACATGGAGCCATAGACTTTCTATGGGAACCGGTTCCCTATCTCTTAACATGGAGCCATAGACTTTCTATGGGAACCGGTTCCCTATCTCTTAACATGGAGCCATAGACTTTCTACGGGAACCGGTTCCCTATCTCTTAACATGGAGCCATAGACTTTCTATGGGAACCGGTTCCCTATCTCTTAACATTGAGCATAGACTTTCTATGGGAACCGGTTCCCTATCTCTTAACATGGAGCCATAGACTTTCTATGGGAACCGGTTCCCTATCTCTTAACATTGAGATAGACTTTCTATGGGAACCGGTTCCCTATCTCTTAACATGGAGCCATAGACTTTCTATGGGAACCGGTTCCCTATCTCTTAATATGGAGCCATAGACTTTCTATGGGAACCGGTTCCCTATCTCTTAACATGGAGCCATAGACTTTCTATGGGAACCGGTTCCCTATCTCTTAATATGGAGCCATAGACTTTCTATGGGAACCGGTTCCCTATCTCTTAACATGGAGCCATAGACTTTCTATGGGAACCGGTTCCCTATCTCTTAATATGGAGCCATAGACTTTCTATGGGAACCGGTTCCCTATCTCTTAACATGGAGCCATAGACTTTCTACGGGAACCGGTTCCCTATCTCTTAACATGGAGCCATAGACTTTCTATGGGAACCGGTTCCCTATCTCTTAACATG